CAGTTAAAGTACTCCCATCATTCCTGTTTCTTTGACAAAACTCTTGTTTGTAGGTCTTCACTAAATTCCATGCTGCCATCTAATATTCATGTATCTCCTATCAAACTCCATCCAGAATTTGCTTTCCTTCCCCCTGTTTGGTACAAGTTGCTATCCTCCTTCTCCTTCATTTTTTCAAGCAGTCACCCAAAAGTGCTGTAGCTTCTTTCTGTGACAACCATTTCCACAAGGAAGTCAGTCTGGTAGTTTACATGAAAACAGAAAAGATTACGGTACTTCTTCTTTTTTTTTTTTTTTTTTTTGAGACAGGGTTTCTCTGTGGTTTTGGAGCCTGTCCTGGAACTAGCTCTTGTAGACCAGGCTGGTCTCGAACTCACAGAGATCCGCCTGCCTCTGCCTCCCGAGTGCTGGGATTAAAGGCGTGCGCCACCACCGCCCAGCTGATTACGGTACTTCTTGATTGCGCCCTCAGTTCCTTTCCACACCATTTTGTCTAACGAAGTCCCTGCTGATGGCCTGGGAGGGCTTGCATGATCCTCGGCCTACCCTAGAAAATACTGCATGAAATTCTGCCTTTGGGGTGCTTCTACTGGTAAATCTGTCCGTCCAGAACAAGCTATTTCCTCCCGTCCTTCAGGTTTTGACAAGAAGGGCATGGTCTCTGCAGAGCCCTCCCTGAGTACCTTCCTGGGCTTTGCTTTTCTTCACAGAGCCAGTCACCACTCTCTATGTTACATCTTTGACTTCCTGGGGAGGCCTTGTCTAATGTCCACTAGGTAGTAGTTTTTTTGTTTTTTTTTTTGTTTTTTTTTTTTTGGTTTTTGAGACAGGGTTTCTCTGTGGTTTTGGAGCCTGTCCTGGAACTAGCTCTTGTAGACCAGGCTGGTCTCGAACTCACAGAGATCCGCCTGCCTCTGCCTCCCGAGTGCTGGGATTAAAGGCGTGCGCCACCACTGCCCGGTAGTAGTTTTGTTCGGCTCATTGTCATCTCGATTCCTAGGTCCTGGAATAGAAGCTGGCATATAGCCTCACTGAACAATACAGGATATATGACCTTGTTATAGCAGAGGAAAGCCCCAAAGTACAGTGACTTGAACAGAAAAATATATTGTCTTGCAGTTTTCAAAGACGGAAGTTGAAGCTCAAGATGTTGGCAAGGGTGATTCCTTGAGCTCTCTCTCCTTGACTTGTAGATGGCAGTCTTCTTCCCTCTGTGTGTGATTGTGTCTTAACCACCCCTTGTAATAAGGATTCCACTTATACTGCACTAGTGCCCACCCTAAATAGCTCATTTTACCTCAGCTCCCTCATTAAAGACCTCATCTCCAAATACAGTCCACAGTCTGAAGTAGCGAGGTGAGGGCTACCATTGAAGAACTGGGGAGGGGGACATTTGAGACTACAATCTACTCAGTGAATAGTGTGTAGAGGGTGAAGAATATGCAGAGAAAATGTGAGTCTTTTAAGGAGTTAAGATCAGTGCTTTGGCTTGGAGAGGAGGGTCAGGAAGACTCAGAGAAGGGTTCAATTTTGATGAATGGGTATCAAGAAAATAATTTCTGTAGCTGCAAATAGGCACAGTAAGAAATTAAAGGAGGGGTAAGGGAGAGAAAAATTGGGGAAAGGAGGTGATGGAATTGGTAATATTGAGGGACAAGGAAGGAGAGGGTGGCCAAGTTTTACAGAAAGAGGAAGCAGGTCCAACTTCATGGTGGTGATTTTATAACAAATCCTGAGTTTAGCTCACCATTTCTGATCTACAAGGATCTAGTAAACACCTATTGTGGAAGAGCCTCTGTGCTGGATGCCAATAATGTGGACTGAAACATGACCCTAAGTGAACTGTTCAACTCGGTGACCCTCTGAGCAACCCTTTGAAGCAGGCACTGCTAGCTTCATTCCTATTTGGCAGATAAGCAAACTGAGACACAGGGATGCCAACTCACTTGCTGAAGATCATAGAGCAATATGTGGTCCTGCCAAGAGGTGGAGTAGTGCCCTGCTCTTGAGGTCCCACTTGTCCTCCTTTTCCTCTGCCGTGCACAGAGGCCCCATGGTTCTAGTCCTTGTAGACAATGATGAGAATGTACTGGTCAGTGTGGGAGAGGGTGGAAGGCCTTGTGAGACCTCACAGTGCAAATCTCAATGGTATTATGTGGGCAGAATGAACTAAGTGTCCTGATGGATGGTAGGAAGAAAGGCATTCTGAGGGGGGAATGAATTAAAAGCAGGCTTCTGTTGCTGGAGCAAGAAGCTCCAGTGAAGGTCCTGGGAGGACAGTGGTTGCCATAGATGCTTTTTGTGTACATAGGTACGCTCCACTCTCACGCCTTCTTTGGAGTTGTGTTCCCAAGGCCCTGTGGTTGAAATGAGGTCAGGAGCATGCTGATGGGCTAGGAGACTAAGGTTAACTCTTAAACCTCCTTGGTCATTTTCCCTACTTGATATGGGACAGAATAATAAAAAAGAGGGATAATTGGTGATGGGATAATTGATTGGTATTTGTGAGTTATTGTTTTTATACAATTATATTGGTATTGATTCTTGTATATTGATACAAATTTAAATTATATTGAATATTGTATGTGAGTATGCTTCTACCTCTGTTTAAAACATTTTTATGTATTGATATATATATATATATTGTATTGATATATATTTACCATATTGCAGTGTACATTTCTACCTCTGATTAAGATACTTATATATTGTTTATGTATTGATATACATTGTTTACATTTGGAGGTCATTGTCCCCATTTATTGCACAGTTGTTTATTGTCTTAGTCTTTAAGTTAGATAGGTATTGAGAATTATAAATCAATAGTCATATAGGTTTGTCATATTTATATTTAGGCTAATCAGGTTCTTTAGATACATGGAGATTATACTCAGTATAGATAGTATAATCTTCAACCTCTTCAAAGAGCTGTAGAAAATGACCTTTAATCTAACCTAGAGTTCCGTGGTAGTGAGACACAATCACTCTTGGCAACATCACACTACTACCGAGAGAATGTTGAGCACCAAAGACACTCCACCTGGAGCCTTTCTTCTTGGCCGAACTGGCCTTTGGGCAAAGAAATGCCCATATCTTGACCGCTGACAGTGATACAGAGTATCTGTAAATGGATAAAACAGGACTGTCATATCCTGCCAAAACAGGGTAAGATAGTTCTGATGTTTCTTGCCTTTGAAAATGGTATGTCAGTTACGTCAGGCCTTAGCCAAAGTTGGTTACCTCAATGCTGCAAACGAGACTTTGGGTGATTGCCCAGGTAGCTAGTTGTCTCTGTCATTTGTTGCACATTTTGGAAGTTTCTCAATTGTACTTCCTGTTTACTCAAGTAATATTACTTCCTTTCTCAGATCTTGGATAGAGTTGAAGATTAGATAATTGTAGTTACCCTCCTCATGATTTAGCTAAACTCAATTTCAATACATTATTTAGACTCCTTGAAATAGAATGCTCAGTAAAACTTTTGTTATGTGTTTCTTGCTTAATATTGTTTATTGCTTGTAATTTTATATTTGGTATCTGTTCCTATTGTATATAGTTGTATTGAATTTGGTTAGATCTTGTTTAGACAAAAGGGGGAGATGATGGGGAAGCTCAGCCAATCACATTTTGCTTGGGTATGGCAACCTGGTCCCCAGGGAAGAAAACCTGGAGATCCAGGTGCGCTCCCTCTCTGCACTCGGTGTTCGCCTGACCCGTTTGGACATCAGAACTTTTACTCCGGTCGCGTGAGTTTCCCCGTTTTTCAATTATTACTAAATTATATTTGTTGTTTTGAGCTGGTCTGTTTATTTAAGCATACCAGTCAAATACGCCTTCACCTACTGACCATGACTCCATCCAGCTCTTTCACTATCTAGCCAGAGCATCTGAACACAGTTGTTTGCACCAACCAAGGGCATTCCCATCCCCAGGATATCTTTTTTTTCTCCGTTCATCCTTCCCATGGGCATGGCTCTCCCAGCCTTCCATGGAGTAAAGGTTACAGAGGCTCTGCCATGGGCAAGGGACACTCCAGAAGCTAAGGAAAGGAAGAGGGGTGACTCTGAGTTTAGAAGGCAGGTGGGGAACAATGTGGGTGGGTCAGAGAAGAGAGAAGGTGCAGGGCCAGGGACACAAAGAATCAGCCCTGGAAGCTGGAGCAGTGGGGGCTCTGCGATCTCTTCCCATCCCTTGTATCGTCATTTTGGCCTTACTCTGGCTCGTTCCCATCAAATGCAGGGCTGTGCTCTCTCTATTAACCCAGTAAGGCACACTGGGCTCCTCCTAGGCTTTCCAAGACACAGACTTTAACCATCTCGTCTCATTCTGTGGGTCAACCTCAATTCCTAGAATAATGCCATTTCTGCTACCAGGGCTTTGTTCAGCCAGGTGAACCTTCCATAATACAGACCGAGGTGTATACTCTGCCCAACACTCCTTGCAGGCTCATAAGATCGCAACTTCCATTCTTTCTCCTCCTTTTTAGGAGCCCATATTCCCCTCTTAGCTGCAGACAGAATTGTGAGGAAAGCAGGATTCTCCCCATTTCTCAGATTTCACAAGAGAAAAGCCATTTCCAGGCAGGGTGGGGACGTAAGTGAGGAAACCAAGGTCACTCAGTCATTGGCAGAAGGAGCGGGGCCAGAGCCCATTCTCTGCGGACCCAAGGAGCCTCACAAGGCTGCCTAGGCCTGCTGTCACGGGCCCCTCTCTTCACCGCAGGCACCAGGGCCAGGCTGGCTGGAATGGCAGGTGAGTCTGGGTGGGGCCCAGGAGGCAGCTCGGACCATAGCGCTCCAAAGTGCCCGAAACGCTGGCCTTGAGGGCAGCAACTGCAGAGTCCGGTCTTTGCAGGACTTGCGCCCTAACTCACCACTGGGCCAAGGAGGTGTCCGAGGGTCCTTAGAGAGTCCCCAGGCCCGCCGGTCAGACCCCGCCCCCCCAGCAGCACTGGCGCGGGCAGGGGCGGTGCCGGCGGAGTTGGGCGCGGGCGCGGGCGCGCGGTGCTGGGTGCGCGCCACCGCCCCTCGGCCCGGCTTGCTGGCCTTCCCCACCTAAGCCCTCGGCTGCTTCAGCTGGCCCCACCCCTTCTTCCTCTCCTGGCCCGGAGGCCTGGTGCGCGGTGCAGGGCGACGATCGCGGCCTGGCTACTGGGGCAAGGCTCTCGAGGGTGGCACGCCAGGCGCGGGGCGCGAGGCCAGAGCTGGCTCGGCAGGGTGCAGGGGGAGGGTCCGACGGAGCCCCCAGAGGAAAGCAGGGACAGACAGGGGGGTGCCGAGGTAATGGGCAAGGCCTGCACGCCTGGCTGTGTGGGGCGGGGGCTTCAGGCGCTCTTTGGCCAGGGCCTGTCCAGCAATGGGGCGCCAGGGGCGGTGGGAGGGAAGCGGGACAGGGAGGGACTAAGAGAGGGGACCGCTGGGATGGGCCGGGGGCTTTGCCGGCGGGAGCAGGTGGGCGGGGACAGGGGCCCTGCTTGAAGAGGCTCAGCAGAGAGGTGGCGGGCTGCGTGCGCAAACAGGGCGGCCGCCTCCTGAGCCTGGAGAACGGTGAGGCCATTTGGTTGGACGACCCCAACCCCGAGGGCATGGTTCGGTGTTCAGGACCACTGAGCTGGGCGCCTGGTACTATTAGGGAGGGAGGATCTGGAGGTCAGGCAGGCCAAGGTGTTTGGGGTCTTGGATGGATCCCCGCAGAACAGTATTGCTGGGCTAGAGGCAGTAGTTCTTTACTGGGGCGCTGGTGTCCTGTGAAGGTGGGTGAAGCCAGGCACTTTCAGGGCCGGCATGAGTGGAAGGGGGCAAGAGACCCCAGAGTTTGAGTTTGAGCTCAATTTGGGAGTTGCCGTGTCACTGGGTGGATTTATGAATCACGAGATTTGGAAATCACAGAACCCTTTCCTGGCGAGTAGTTCTGAGCATTGGAAATCATAGGAGCTAGAATTTGGAGAAGTGTTTTGGGAGGCCACAGGTATGGGGACACCAGGTACTCAAGCGGGCCACTAGTCCCTGTGGGAGGTACTTTGGGAGCTGTGACCCAGAGAGCTGAGATTCAGAGGCCTCAGCCTGGGGTGGGGTTAAGGAAGGTCTCTGTGGTGGCCAGTTCCCTGCCTTCCTTCCTTTCTAGAATGTCAGGATTCAGCTGTGTTCCCGTGGGGAATGGGTTAAAAATTCCTTCAGCCTACAGTCAGCTTACAGTATTCACCAGGGGCTGGAGGGACATATACATGCGTGACTGCAGCTGCATTCTCGGTCATGGAGCCCTCATGCTTCCTCACTGTTGCCATAGTAACTGCCTATTGGTGTATTTATAGGGGAAGAAGCAGGCGCTACATTTTGGGGAGGGATGGGGAGAAGCCGTCATGGAAGCTGCAGCAGTAGCAGCAGCAGTGATGGTGGCTACAGAATTGCTAATGGGGAAGGAGGCGATGCCATGTGAACTGTCTGGGAGAGATCCTGGCTTCTTTGAGGCTCAGAAATGAACTAATGGCTTTTCCAGGCCAGGAAAACACAAACTTGGGGCTATGATGTATATGTGTATGAGTGCACGGAAGTCCATGTGTTTGGTTGGGTCCAAAGATGGCTGTACGTAAAGCTATTATATAATTTTTTCCATGTAAAATGTTTTGAAAACTCTACAGTTCACTTCAGTAAGCAATGGGATGTATTTGCTTTATTATTAGCGAAAGCTTTGCTTATTCATTCTTTTCAAACTGTGATGTGGCAGCTTTATTTTTCTTTAACCAAAACACCCTGTTTCCTAATCCAATTCTCTCTACATCCTCATCATATGAATCTCATGGATCATAAAGAGGCCAGGCTTTGTCATTGTGAAAATTGAGGTATTCCAGTGAAGTAATGATCACTGGGTAGTTTGCCATGAGTTCAAAAGAGAAAACCCACGACACAGTGATAGTACTATTCGATGTGCTCTTAGATTGGTTACTTTCCCCAGCATTCAAAATTTATTCATGATTCTTATCCTTTTTGTTTTCCAAACAGACTGGAGGCTATATTTTAAATACACAATAAGAATACTACTCTGGAAGAATAAATAGAAGACCATACCAAGTTGTGGGGAGAAAAGCATATGTGTGCAATAGCTGGGCTTTCAGAGCACTTGTATCTGGCCATCAGTGTTAACACTGAACTTCCTGGCAGGCTAAGCAAAAAGGGTAGCATAATGGGTTACAAAGCTCATGTGTCTTACATCCCATTAGTCATAAAACATGAGCTTCTGCTTGGGGAAGAGAGCTGATGGGTAATTGCTCCCAGATGTTAATGGCTTAGGCAGTGTTCCATATGTGTACAAGTAGGACTGTGTTAATAGAGAAAGGCATTATGACAGTGCTTCTAGATAGAGGTCTCTCCTCCAAGTTACCATCACAGATTTATTGTACTGTATTTATTTGATTGTTTGTTGTGGTCTTGAAGATCAAACCTTAGACATTGTTGTATTAAGGAGCTATATCTCCAGACCTCTGTCTTCATGCTGATCTTTTAAATATGTGTTTACCAAGGTTCTGTGTTGCAGTAGTCTTTAATGCAAAGAGAAAAGATGTGCCTGGCTCCAGAGAAGTCCGAACATCTTACCTTGCTTCTCTTTCTGGGAAAGATGGGCTGAGAAGATTCTCTGAGTTTGGGCCCAAAGGTTTGGGCCAGGGCTTGTACGAATATGTCTGTGTTGTATATGGAAGATCTGACCCTGTACAACAGGTATCCACAGATTACTGTAGGCCAGCATCAGCTAGGCTGCAACATTTGAGATGGGTGTTGCTGATGCATTAAGTTTGGGATTTAAGGAACATGTTCATCTTCACCATGAAATTCAATTCCAGGTCTTGTCTCTGTCAATTTGCTTAACCTTGCTTCTACCTAACCCCATCTCTGTACTTGATTTCTCAGCTCTCTCTGGGGTCTTTTCTATTCTATAAAGGGACAAAGATTCATTGAAGGCACTGAGCAATAAGGAGTGTTAGCCCAGAAATGCTTTCCATTTGAAAAAAAGTTAACCCCTAGGTCTTTGAGACTCACAGAAGGCTGTGAGAGAGAGAGAGAGAGGGGGGGGGGGAGGGAGGAAGGAAGGAAGGAAGGAAGGAAGGAAGGAAGGAAGGAAGGAAGGAAGGAAGGAAGGAAGGAAGGAAGGAAGGAAGAGAGAACAAGCGAGAGAACAAGCCTCTGCTTGGTTTGGGGGAATTCTGGAGCTCTTCAAGGACAGAAGAAACAGCAGGAATTGACTGACTGAACGAGGGTATTATGCCTCATGGGATGCTGTTTTGACTTTTTAGTCAGGTTGGTGGGAGATCACATTCTAGACCCCAGAGGATTTCACCTCAACTTTCTTTTCTTCTGTGCCAGGCAAGTAAGTTGCTGGAGCTGAGGGAGCATCATGGCTGGTGAGTATTTGTGAAACCATCTGAGTTGGACAGGCTCATGCAAAACAACATATCCATCTTTTCAGTTTTTCTCTCCTTGAGTCACTCTGAATTATACTAATACAACAGTTTGTGGATCTTGGGGGAGAGGGCCTGCAGGCCAGACCTGTCAACTTGGGCATAGAGGGGTACCACCTCATGTGAGGAGTAAACAGTCTCGCCACTGGTCATTGCTTTTGTCCCCAAAGCCACAGCTCTTGCCTGATTTTACTCCGACCAGTGGCAGCCTGGAAGAGGAACCAGTGCTCATGATAAGGGCTCTGTCTGTCTTTCCATCTTCCAGACAGATGCAGAAGCTACTAGATGTTTTCTTACCCAAGACTAAGATACATAGTCTGGTCCTTTTTCCTGTGCCACCTGAAGTTTCTTCTCCATCGTGTCTCATTTTCCTTGGTATGGCAATGGATCTGGGCCCTGTTGGGACCCTGAGGTCCTGCTGCAGAGTACAGCATCACAGCAGCGTAGGAAGTCAGCCCTCCTATCTTCATTGCAATAGGTCAGGCCTGGCCTTTGCTTGGAGGCCTGGCTTTAGGTCTGCTGGAATTGTTCTATTTCCCTTCATAATTGGGCAGTCTGGTTTGCAGGGACTGAATTGCTTCACTGTGGTTCTCCCTTCAGTGTTTCTGGAAGCCAAGAATGCCCATGCAGTCCTGAAACGGTTCCCTCGTGCCAATGAGTTCCTGGAGGAGCTGCGTCAGGGCACCATTGAGCGGGAGTGCATGGAAGAGATCTGCAGCTATGAAGAGGTCAAGGAAGTATTTGAGAACAAAGAGAAAACGGCACGTACTACCCTGCTGCTGGGTTCTGGGAGGAGGTGCAATCTTGGGAATAATAGGAACTGGTCTAAAACAAGGGAAGAACACCACCCAGGCTACATCCTACTTGTTGGAGCCCCCAAAGCAGCATTGGGGTGTCACTCTAGGTTTGTTGCTTTATTTGTGTGAACTTCCTCATCTGGGTACTTTGCCTTTCATCCTCAGTGAATTCCCCAGACTCTCTGGGAGCTCTCTTAGGCCAGTAAGATGACTTAGGGTGGAGAAGGAACCACAACCCTGTCCTTAGTACATGATTTGCTGGAGGTCTCAGATGTCCCAGGCATGAATGTTGTTAGGTGAGCAATTCCTTGTTGTGTCTGTCTTCCTCAGGAGTGAATGGCCCTTCTTCCTTTGCAGATGGAGTTTTGGAAGGGATACCCGAATGCGGTCTACTCAGTCCGAGATCCCTCGCAGAGCTCAGACGCCATGTATGTGGTGGTGCCCCTTCTGGGGGTAGTCTTGCTGATTGTCATTGCCTTGTTCATCATCTGGAGGTGCCAGCTGCAGAAAGCAACTCGTCACCACCCCTCCTATGCTCAGAACCGGTACCTAGCCAGTCGTGCCGGGCACAACCTCCCCCGAGTCATGGTATACAGGAGCACTATGCATAGCCAGGGAGAGTCCTCTGGGCACCGAGAGGCAGGGAATAATCCACAGATAGTCTTGGGGCCCAGCCGGGGAAGTAGAACCACTGTCCGACTGGAGAGCACCCTCTACCTCCCTGAGCTCTCTCTCTCCAGACTGTCCAGCGCTACCCCTCCCCCCTCCTATGAGGAGGTGACTGCACCACAGGAGGGCAGCAGTGAGGATGCCAGTGTCTCTTACAGTGACCCTCCCCCAAAGTATGAAGAGATTGTGGCAGCCAGCCCCAGTGCAGATAAGTAGCTGAGCATGGGCCCTGGCTTGTATAAAAGCCTCTTCCAGAGGTATCCTGCTTCTTTTTGGACTTCTGAAAGACTGTGCCACCACAAAACAGCCTTAGCCTCCTTGTTGCCAAATAATTCCCCAACCATGGATTTGTAGGAAGTCAGTTGGTAGAGACAGTTGGTGTGTGTGTGTGTGTGTGTGTGTGTGTGTGTGTGTGTGTGTGTGTGTGTCGGGGTGGGGGGCCATAGGACAAGTGTATGATCCACCTGGGAAAAGCTACATACCTGAACGCCCGGGTCTTCCAGACCCCACCCCACCACTGCCAAGTCCCCAATGTCCTGCCCTATCTTTAGGGACTGGCATCTCTTATGCCAAAGGAAACATCTCATGGTGTTGATTGTGACCAGAATGTCCACAGGCTCATCTGGTGGCTATGGGGCTGTCTAGGAACCCCTGTGTATCTGAGGACCTAGGCCACAGAGATGAGGCAGTCAAGCTAGCCCTGTGATTTCCCCTTTCTCCACAGTTCCATGCCTACTGTTCTTATTTATATTATGAGGACAGAAACAAAGATTGATCTAGGAACAAAACACAAATAATAACAAGTGAACCATAAATGAAAATAATATAACCTGGACCATTTGAAGCCCTCCAAAAGGAATCAATTAGACAGACCTTGGCACAGCCTTCCTCCAACACCCACCCTTATGCTCCTGACCAGGGTGAAGTCTATGTATAGATCAACCTGGTAGGAGGACAGGGGATGGGAAGGAGGAGGGAAAGGGGCTGGGTGGCAGAGCTCCTTATTCCAGACCAACCAAGGGGCCCACTTCAACTCTGCCATCTTGTTTGTGATGTGTACCAGCTGTGCTAAAATCAGTTCCCACTGGCACAAGCCCACATGTAGCCTTGGAGAACTCTGTTGTGGGGAAAACTGATGTCCTCTTCTCCCATGGATCCCAGGGCCTCTCCCTGGCTGTTCCAGACTGGCACAGAGAGCTCAAGATTCCTCCTTTGTGAGATTGATAAACCCATAGTATAGTTCAAACCATGAGCACCACCTCCTTGGCACTGTGCTGTCTGGCTTTCCAGTTTTAGGATACTTTCTTTTTTGTAAATAGGTGCATTGAACTTGAACTTTAGATTGTGATTTCTCCTAATGATGGTGCCCGTACAGGGAGAAGCTCCTGAAGTGTCTCTTAAAAATTTTCTTAGTGTGGGAGCCCGTGACCTGGAGTCTAAAGTCCACCTGGGGTTTGCTCTGCCATGGCAAGGTGCTGATCTGCTTTCAATGAGGCTTGGGAAGATGTTGGGCAGAGGTGACTTGTTCTTTAATCAAGGATGAGGTAAAAGACTTTGTTGATACCATCTCTACCCGCCCCAGCTCTATTCTCCTGGTGTCTGTGCCAAATCATTTTTCCTCTGTGGTGCTTTAAAAATGTAGCACATTTTGTGTGGGGCCCAAAAACAGTGCATAGCGTGGGTCTGTTGGTAATGGCAATGGTTTCCAGCCCACAGAGTTGACAAGCTTCCTTCTGTCTAAGCAGCCCTTCGAGGCAGACACTGAGACACATTCCTTGAGTGCAGCCCTACCTTGAGGCCCCAGATGACTTCTACAGGCTGTTCCAGTACAGGGGACTTTCCCGGGGGTTTGTTTCTAGTCGAGCTTGTGTTCTTACCCCAGTGAGGTTGCCAGCTTGGATAACTCCACCCTGTGGCTCCCCTACCTCACAGGCCCATTGGAGGCTGATGGAGCTAATGCATTGTGAAGAGCTTGAAGCCTCTTGGAACCAGTGAAGTTTACCCTTAGCAAGATTCTTCTAGAAATAGGTAGTAGTTGTAAGGGACTGGTTTTAGGCAAGGTCTTCAAATGCCTCTGATGTTGAGTGTCAACCTGAGGAGTCAATCTCTTTCCATTTTACTCTACGTGGGCCTTCCTTTCTCCCCAGAGTTTCCTGACACCAGAAATGACCAAATGGCATTCTTCCCTCTGTCCCTTCATTTTGATCTTTTCCCCTCCCTCCCTTCCTGCTTTCTTTCCTTCATGTTTCTCTTCTTCCCTTTTCTTTCCATTAATTTTTCTTTTTAATCTTTCTCTCCATTGGTCATCTAGTATTGCACTCTGGCCCTTCCTAATGAAGGGATTTGGGGCTCAGAAGTCCCCTGCTTTTTTCCGTGATGGAGACTGGGCTCAGTCTCATCCAGACATGATGGAGATCCTGGGGAAGCTGGAAGCTCTGGATCAGCCCAACCTCTGCATTTTATTAATCTGGTGCCTGATTGTGACCTGGGATATATGAAGACAAACTTACCCCAATGTGACTCCTCCCCCAGCTGGCAGAGAGTCAGGCATAGTGACCAGAGCCACAGAATATGTCAACGAATGCCCACTGCCTTTGGCGTGGTTGAGCTGCCTGGCAGCTAGAGGCTAGGGATGCTTGAGTAAGAGCAGGAAACTGACTCCTAAGGCCTTTTGAGAGCGATATGCAGCCCTTGGGAGCTGAGGACTGGATGCAGGGTGAGTGAGTGAGTGAGTGAGTGAGTGAGTGAGTGAGTGAGTGAGTGAGTGAGTGAGAAGCAGCTCCTTGCATGTGGCCTGTGGACTCTGGGTCAGGTGCTTCACAGAGCTCTTCCAGGTGACTTGTGCCAAGCCTCTGCAATGGTTTTTCGCAGCATAGTGTTTAGATATATAATGGGCATAATTCCTCAAGGTGCACACTTGGCTTTTGCGAATGCCCTGTACATATCTTTTCAAACTCTGTCTTTGTATAGACATTGATTTGATACAATGCTCACACTTCAGTAGCCACAGTTTTGTTTGTTTGAGACTTGTGTATGCTTGTGTGTGTGTGTGTGTGTGTGTGTGTGTGTGTGTGTACATGTGGGCATGTTGTCTTCTCTCATTGCTTCTATCAAATGATAGCTGGTTTGTGGTTCTATTTGTCCCAGGCGGGATCTGTTCTGAAGGGAAGACTGTCTTCATTTTGTGGGGCCTGTACTCTGTTGGATCCCCTCCAACCTTTTGGCATGGTGTCCCCTTCCTCAGCTCCTGCTCTGTAGGTGTCAGCAGCTGAAGGAAATCTGAGAACTTCTCTCTCTCTCTCTCTCTCTCTCTCTCTCTCTGTGTGTGTGTGTGTGTGTGTGTGTGTGTGTGTGTGTGTGTGTGTGTGTGTGTGTGTGTGACACTATTGACTTTCAGAATGGTGGGGTTAGTTACTTAGATATTTTTCACTAAAAATGAAAAGGCTTTAAAATTTTCCTTAAAATATGACTATCACCTGTTTTCAACCAAACCCTTTGTAAGACTTTTTTTTAAAACGAATGGCAACCCTGTCAGTCCCCTCCCAGATGGCCCATCACTTTGGGTTTTCAAAATGAAAGCACAAAAGAAAGAGTGGGGCGCACAGGTGCCTGGCATGTGCATACCCCTGCACAGCTGTGTTGCGCCCTAGCTGATCACAGAGGTGTGATCACAAGCAGCTGGACCTAGGAAATGGAGGCCCCCTCTGCTAGTTGCCAATTCCACTGCCATTAGTGTGAATTCCTTAGGGTGCTCCAGTGAACAAGCGTCTGCCCAATTGTTTGGACATTGTCTTTTTGGTAGTCCAAACATTAGGGATTAGGGACAGCAGTGTTTTCTGTTCAAGCAGTTCCAGCCAGATGCTTCCACTCTCCCAGTGGATGGCAACTCCACAGATCCTAGCCAGAGTTGATGGATCCTTTGACAACCAAATGGCATCCCATGAGAAAACCAAGAAAAAAAAGCCAACATTGCCACTAGATTGTCTTTTAATTCAAGTGAGAGTTAATGGCAGAGAGAGGGTGTGAGTCCCCAGGACTGTGTCTTTTTAGAAGAGTGCGTGTGTGCTCTCACTGTGTGTTTGCTCACAGTAAAGCCTGAGTTGTTGGGCTGGGCTGCTTTTCAGCTTGTCAAGTACTGAAGCTCCATTCCCAGGCGTCACCGGTTCTGAAACAGCCACATCTTCTGCACTGAAGTCTCCTAATACTAATCAGTATAATTAGCTAATTTTAGACTGCTGTAATCAGACTGCTTCCCACTACAGTAAAAGCCCATTAATTTGAGCCCACTAATTCAGAACTTAGAGGAAATCCAAATTGGAGATAATTCCCAGTAACTGCTATTCTTGCTACAGAAAAATATTTGAAAGTGTCTTCCCTTCAGTCAGTCTTCAGGGCCTTCTTTGTGAAAGGAATTCGGTTTAAAATAGGTACCCCTTTCAAAGGAAAAGCTCGAGGTATCAAAGATTTCTTCATTGTGCCTTCAGCTTAGAGTTTAGCAGTTTTTGTGCGTAAGGCTCTTTCTGTGCAGGGTGATCCCTTGTTCTCTCTCCATTGTGGGATGTTAGATATTGCAGCCTTTCACTCCGTGTCTGTATTTAGCCTGTGAATAACATAGTCTGTGATCTTGACTGCAGTTTTAACACCAGTACGTGCTTTTCAAAGTCTTCTGTAAAGCAGATGTTGCACTCATTCACCCCCAAGTCTTCAAACTTTGGAGCTTCCCCTTTCCAGGCTGTGGGAGGCAAATCTCTCTCTAGCAAGAATTTCTCCGACAAAGATCTGCAAACAGCATACCCCCTCAGCTCAATGCCTCGACAGTGTTTCACTGTACTGCTATCTGACCGCTGAACGTGCCTGCCCTTCTCCAGCCCCTAGCAAGCATTAAGATTGATATCTAGAATTGGGACCAACCCTCCAGCTGCTTTTTGCCTCCCAAGCTGTCTTGCCTCACTGATGCCACTTTCCCAGGCCTGAATCCACCTGCTATTTCACTCTGTCATTGTGAATTTGTGACAGTGGCAACCCTGATATGTGCAACTGAGCTTATAGAAATGATTGCTGTGAAATGGATTAATTTTGGTACAATTAGAAGCTGTGCTTGTTTTCATTGTTGACCGATGTCAGCTGGGACATCTGTACATTCAGTCACATGTTGGGGTTTCAAATGGAGCCTGGGAGCAACAAACCAACTTGCTTCTGACCTGACCTTTCTCGTGCATGCTCTCTGGCTCCCTTTTTACAACCATTGAGTTTAGCTGTTAACTTTTGTCTTTCTGTATAAGAAAATAATGAGTAAAAATAAAGAGCAAATGGCATCCACTTGTACCTTGTCCTGGTTCATCATAGATCCTAGATGATTCCCTAAGTTCCCCAGAGTGTGTAAGGCTGCGGGGTCAAACTCCTGGACCCAAAAGTCAGATTGTATAGATAAGGAAACAGCCCAAACCAGTTTAGGAGCCAGTTGGAAGCAGAGATAGTCTGGGTCCTAAAGTTTGTGCCTACAGTGTGTAATCTGATCCTCTGTCCCATCCCCCCCTTAATGGGATGAGGTTAGTAAGATCTGGCACAGATCTTGTTTAGCAACTTCCTAGTCACCTGATCCCTGGTTAGGTGAAGGCTCTAGAACAGATCCCAGCACAAGCTGGCTCTAGGAGCTTTCCCCAGAGATAAGGCTAGCACCTGCAAGGAAGCTAATGCCATTAGAGTCCCCAGCCTTCCCAAGTGTCCTTGGTGAGAAGAATGCATGGGCTGTTTCTAAATGTTCACAACCAGAATTTGGTGACTAGTCAGTTTGTATTAGGCCCTGTACCTGTGTGAATTCAAACAGTCCTCCCAAAGTATGGGGTTTCTAATCAACTCTTATTTTATAGCCGGGGAGACACAGCCTGATTGGGGAAGCCATTTGACTAAGGGTTTATGAGGAAGAGGTGGCATGCTTATCTCATGATTGCAGAATTTTCCTCACTTATCTCACCTCAGGCTATTCCCGCAGCCTGGTGGGGCCTCCCTCAGAGAAAGCTCTGAGGTGTTGGCTGTCCATTTCTTCAACATGGCCCTGCCTTTCCTATTCTGCTGCTTCTTCAGAAGTGCAGTGATCACGTAGTTTCAAACCAGACCCTGAACGTATTTCTTCCCTGACACTCGTGGAAGGACTCAGGACAACTACCAAGGTCTCTATGGGCGGGTAAAGCCAGAAGAGGAGAAGTTGAGCCCCTCTGTAGGATATGATATGAAAGCCTAGGACCCTCCCCCCAAAAGACAAAATGTTTGGATCACCTCCTATGAGTTTTCTAGATGAAACATACTGTTCTCAAAAATCACAAGAGTGTTAACTCCAATAATAATGGTGATTTCCTGCACTCCTGCCAGAGAATTCAAACTGTGAGATTTATTCAGTTCAACTAGGATGTGCATGTAATTAAACAAGACATTGTGGGGCTGGAGAGATGGCTCGGCAGTTAAGAGCACTGGCTGCTCTTCCGGGAGACTCGGGGCCAGCTCGCAGGCCCACATGTTTGCTCACAACCATATGTAATTTCAGTTTCAGGGGACCCTCACCCTTTTCTGGCCTCTGCTGGAACTGCACACATGTGGTGCATATACGTGCATGCAGGCCAAACATCCACACATGTAAAATAAAATAAGAAACAGAAAAATGTTTTCTATTAGTCTGGTGCTACTGGATCCCAGGAACCCAATGGGTAGGGCAGTCAGTGATGATGCTTTAAAGCTGAGAGTACATACAAGGTTAGGTGCTGGTAGAGCATCAACAAGCTAAGAAATCCTTGCCTAGAGTCAGGCTGCAAGGTTCCAGAGGGTGTGGAGTATAGCAAGCCAAGTCCCAGCCACCAGCAGCACTGAGCACAGCTAGGGCTGGTATGTAAAAATCTATAATTAAGGTAAAGGTTGAACTTAGAATTTAGAGAAGACCAGCAGGGCTTGATATGGAGGCTCCATGAGAAAGCCTTCTTAAGGACACCATGGCCAACTGAAGTAATTTTTAGACAGAGGACATGGAAGTCAAGTCAATGAAATCAGGCAGAAGGATAATAAATGAAAAATCCTGGAGTCTAGCAACCCCTTCCTGTTGTTAAGGAAATAAGAAGCCAGGGTAGTATGAGGGAAGTGTTGTAAAAGATGAGGTGCAAGGCCATTTAGAACATCTTCAGAATGCTGTCTGTGCTGGTGATAGCGGGAGGCCACAGAGAAGTACTAGAAAGAGCAGGAAGACCTGCTATATGGAGAGAAGTCTGGAGAGGATCAGAAATCAAATGGCCAGGTAGGAAGGCCAGGTGTTTGCAATCATTCTGATGGGCGACAGCAGCTAGAGGAGACAAAGAGAAATATACTATTGATAAGACTTTGCTCTAACTTAAGTAGACATTATAGCCATGTGGCCATTTAAAATGAGGATTATGGAGATTTTGAAACCACAGGAAGGCCTTGGGACTAGGAAGATGCATTGTTACCCAAATTAGTCCAGTTGATTCTTTTTGGGGGATTTTTGGGTCACCCTGGGAGAAAGAAAGACATATTTTAACTGGGAGGCAGAAACCTGTAAGGGGACTGATAATTGGAAAGGGGGAAAGCCATTCAGATTTAGATGGTAGAGTCATTACCTGTGAATGGTTTCACTGGAGGAGCAACAGGTTGAGAGGAACAGACTGGAGATTCATTCTGGGATAAATGATGGGTGTAATGTGGAGGATGTGGAGCTGAGGGGGTACTCCTGGGTTAGAACAAGAGAAATCACTGGTGCTCAAGTTACTAGAAAGATAGCAAGTGAAGACTTGAGAAGTCATAGAAGCAGAGGGAATTGTGAAGAGTTTGATGCTTTAGAAACTAAGGGAGGAGACTGTTTCTAGAAGGAAAGATTGGAGAATGATGTGAAATGCTTCCAAGTAGTGAGAAAAGGTGCCCCCTACATTGATTTATTAGACTGATTTAACAATGGTGTCTGAAGACTCCAGCAAGGGCTGCTTTCAGCTGAATGAGTGACGTGGCACTTGGGAGATGGAAGAGCAGACATAGAGTGCATGAAAGCCTCACTTTCAGAGACCAAGAAAGGCACTAGGAAGTCCTCAGACACTGTGTGAGGCTTATAGCAAGTCACAAGCCCTAAGCATGACCTCTGTGCTGGGACAGAATGCTTCACACCACATGGCCCTTTATCTTCCTGAGGCAGGATTATGGAGGCACAGAGAAGACAAGTGAATTACCCAGGGTGAGAGTCTAAAAAATGTAAGAGTCTAACAGTGAAACCCAAAGACTAGGGATGATGGGAGGTGCCCTTAGAGCTGTGACTCACTTCACTCTTTATTTCTCAGCAGGGTGTTGAGATACAACCTGTCTACTCCCCTCCAGTTCCCAAGAGTGAAGGGTTGACCAGCAGAGAAGAGAGCAAGTTTCCTTAACCTAGTGAGCAAGCTCTTCCCTAGTACTTCTTAATGGTCTGCCTACTGTAGACTATGACGGATGTGCCAATGGATCAATGAACTGGGTCACACCTGATCCTCCATGCTAGCCCTCCTCAATCTTTCCATCTGGAAATCAGAGGGAAACTTAGGAGAGTATCAACTATAGAGACGGGGGTTGTGATGAATAATCTTTGTTGTTAACTTGAGTGGATTTATGAACAGAAGAAACATCTCTTGGTGTGTCTGTGAGGGTATTTCCCAAGTTTAACTGAGGTGGGACGACCCACCTTGAATGTATATGACACAACTCTGGGGGTTGAGGGTTGGGGTCCCATAATGAATCAAAGAGAAAATCAAGCTAAGCTTGGATGTATGTAGCTGGAGACTTTTCTCCGTCCCTCCTGGTCCCCTTGGACTGATTTCTTTTCTGTCTGCTGGTCCCTGCAGCCATTTATAAAATAATCATTCAGAGCTTAATATTAAACATAATTGTTTGGCCAATAAGCTCAGGCTTCTTAATGACTAGCTCTACAAATAAATTAACCCATTTATTTTTATCTTTCTTTTTTTAAAATTTATTAGATTTTTTTAAAAAAAATGCCAATCTAAGTCCCCACTCCCTCCCCTCCTCCCATTCCACCCACCCTCTCATCCCACCCCATCCAATCCTCAGAGAGGGTAAGGCACATTGCCTTGTGGAAGGTCCAAGGCCCTCCCTACTATATCTAGGCTGAGCAAGGTATCCATCCAAAGATAATAGGATCCCAAAAAGTCAGTAAATGCAGAAGGGATAAATCCTGGTGCCACTGCCAGTGGCCCCTCAGTCTGTCTGAGCCATGCAACTGTCAACCACATTCAGAAGGATTAGTTTGGTCCTACGCTTGTTCCTTCCTAGTCTGGCTGGAGTTAGTGAGCTCCTATTAGCTCAGGTAAACTGTTTCAGTGGATGAACCCATCATGATCTTGAACTCTTTGTTCATATTCTCACTCCTCTCACTCTTCAACTGGACTTTGGGAGCTCAGTCCAGTGCTCCGTGGGTCTCTGCCTCTACCTCCATCAGTTGCTGGATCCTGAGGTTAAGTTGATTCTCAATTTTCTGAGAAACCGCCATACTGATTTCCAAAGTGGTTGCACAAGTTTGAATTCCCACCAGCAATTGATGAGTGTTCCCCTTACTCCACATCTTCTCCAGCATAAGCTGTCATTGGTGTTTTTGATCTTAGCCATTCCGACAGGTGTAAGAGTTTGTTTTGATTTGCATTTCCCTGATAGCTAAGGGTGGTGAACATTTCCTTAAGTATCTTTTGACCATTTGAGATTTTTTTCAGTTGAGAATTCTCTGTTTAGTTCAGCACCCCATTTTTTAATTGGGAAATTAACCCATTTCTAATAATCTGTGTAATATCGCATGCCCTGTGGCCTACCGGCACCGGCAATGCTCTGGCATTGTTATTCCTCTAGCATCTGCTGGCATCCGCCTGATTCTGACTTCTTTCCCCCTGTCTCTCTGCTTGGATTTCCTGCCTATTTATATTTTGCCCTTCTATAGGCCAAAGCAGATTGTTTATTAACCAATGGTAGTAAAAACATATTCACAGCATACAGCGGCTTCACAGCATATGGAGGAGTATCTCACATCACCAGTATTCATCTTTGTTTACTGACAGAGATAAAATATGACCAACCATCTCACCATCCTGTTGCCATGTCTTCTCCAACTTAATTGACAGCATTCTTTCAAACTGTGAGCCAAAAAATAAACTCACCCTTTTGCCGGGTGTTTTGTTATGACAGTGAGACCAGGAACCAAACACAGGCATGTCTGCTGTGAACCTCAGGTATGAGAAAATGTGTGTAGAGTCTATTTCACATCTTTGACAACATTTCTGTCCAGA